CTTAAATAAATATAGGTAAATGAAGGCAAAGGGAAGTGGGTAGAAATTGAAATATATTTGGGGGAGGGGGTAGCTGGCAGAGTTGTTGATAGAAAGGGATGGAGAAGAAGAAAGGGAGAAATCAGAGATAGCCCCTAAGTTTCTAGTTTAAACTAAGTCCTGGCCGAGGTAGCTCAGTTGCTTAGAGCATTGTCCCGATATACCAAGGTTGTGGGTTCAATCCCTGGTCAGAGCACATACAAGAATCAACAGTGAGTTCATAAATGGGTGGAACAACAAATCAATGTTTCTCTCTCTCTCTTCCCCCTTTCCTTTCTCACTCTAAAATCAATATATAAAAATTAAAAAAACCAACAACTGGGTAAATAGTACTATTTACCATTATCATGGTAACTGGAAGAGGAATTAGTTTTGAAGAAAAATGGTGGTCAGATACATGTATGTATATGCATGTGTAAATATGATACCACAGCCTACCAAAGAGTGTTCTGGACTGGGAATTTAACAGCCTGATTTGTGTCTTAACATCCTCAGTAAGAGCAATCACCTCTCTACACCCCATTTTCCCCCATCTGCAACATGGGATGATTATATCTGTCTTTGTTGCTTCAGAGGGATGCTGAGAAGATAAATGAGATAACATATATGAAAAGTACTTTGAAGTCTTAGGAGGATAAAAACTGTGTACAAATCCAAGCTATCATTATTACATTCAGGGTGTGTTTATATTTTTTATGTTTGTACTCAAAGTCATCAGTATTATCACGCTTATGTTCTTTCCTTCATGTTCAGTTCTCAGAAATGGCAAGATGAACATCTCATTCCCCAATTGTCCCTTCACCTATAGTGTTCTCTTGACAGGATTTTGCAAATATTAGTGTTGTCTTAGATTTTTTTTAAGACCCCAGGGAAAAGGGTTTTTTCCCCAGTTTATCTCAGCCTGGGTAATTCTTGACAGATGACACTAATAACGGCATCTTTTCTAACAGAGATGCACAGATTATAGAGAACCAGCACATTGTCTCATTGAATCCTCCACCAACACTCTAAGAAAGGTATTTTTTTTTTCACCATTTGACAGAGGGAAGATGGCTCAAGGGGTTAAAGTAATTTGCCCCCAAATTCATTTTACAGCTGGAGTCATTAAGGCTAATGAAAGTGTTGTGTTCTAAAATATAGCATGAACTAGCACCAGGGATGTTCAAGAGCCTGTAGCCAGGTCATATTCATGGATGTGTGTGCAAGCTTCTTTGATCCCTATAACCTTAGACACAACGTCTTCAGTTCTTGGATAATGGGTGTGACTACCGATTTTCCTGCCTAGAGTTTCAAGAGCTGCACCATATCACCCATAGCTTTGTGCCAATGTTCTCTCTACATGTAAACAAAATAAGAACAAAACAAATAGTCTCTTGCTCTCCAGAGTAATTACTACCTGGTGAATAGGATGGTCTTTTCCTTGGGAGGAGACCCAGTGCACTCAGTTTCCTCTGAGGTGATGTGCACAAGAGAGGTCCTTGAAATGGTAGACAGAAAACTGGATGTGGAATCCAGAGACACGAGGTTGAATCTGGGTTCAAAATTACGGACTGTGTGACCTGGCGATGAAGTGAACCTACTGGAGCATCAGTTTTAATAACTGTAAACTGCATATAATAATACTTATCTGTTCACTGGCTGTAACCTTCTAGTCAGAGTCACCTTCATCTGCAGTTCCAGAAGCACAAACATATATGTGGGCTAAGTAGTCCCTTTCAGAGATCCCTGTTTGTAGATTATTGGACTAAAAATTCTCTATTCTGTTCATTTCTACCCTTGTCTTTCTCAGCAAAAATGCCAATAATAGCAAAAATGCTATTATTTCCGGTGTTCACACAGTATGGCTCTGAGCATATTAATCTATTTAGAACAAAGCTAAGGAGGAATGACATACAGGGTTGCATGAGGACTGAGTTAATGCATACGAAATGTTTAACACAGTGACTGGCATACAGTGCATGATGGATAATCGTTAGCTGTTTTAAATTTTTCTTACTTAGGTGATTCTCATTTTCTTGAGTGGTTTGTCTGTGGACCGGAGTGGAGAGGAGAGAAGAATCTGGCTCCCTTTAAAAATGTCAGCCTGTCAGTAGGCAGGTAGGGCTTTCTTGCATCCTATCTGCAACCCTTCCCCTTATTTTTGCCCAGTTTCTGCACACCCAGGCAAGTATCTGGGTAACTTTTTTGTAAGTTGATGGTAAATGCCAACAGAATAATGACAACTTTGAGAGCAGTGACAAAATTTTAACTTGTTTTCCCTCTGAACTGAGTCTGAAAAGCAACCCTAAACCTGTGGACAACTTGTTTTTCAAAACTACATTTCAGAGTTTACAGGTGTGTGCGCCTGGGGCAACCAAAACAAAGATTCCAGTGATGGTGATGGCTGCCTCCCAGGCTCAGATAAAAGAGGCGTCTCTCAGTTAGCCTTGCGTGCCAGCTCACCTGAGGTCAGACTTTTAATTTTCCCCACTTGCGGCAGGTAGAACAGGGCCTCCCAAGGCTGGGTTTTAAACCCACACGACGGTTTTCCCAGGCTCTCTCTCTCTCCCTTCCCAGTTTGAGTTTCTGGGTCCGCCATCCTCCCTGCTGGCTCGGGTGTGTGTCCCGGGGGAGACAGGGTGGTTGGTGCCTGGATGTGGGCAGCCGGGGGAGCAACGCTGGGAGGCGGTGGCCCCGGAAATCGACGGGTGGACGGCTGCCCTGGGACTGTCCCCCAACTGATTCAACATGCCTAAGGGGTCACAGCACTTGGCTGGTACTCTACCCGGTGTCTCTCCAGGGCTGGGCCAACAGAAGCTCCCGGGGTATGCAGTGAACGGACTGGAGCTTCCCGCCCTTTCCCGGGACCGGCCCCTCCGCGCCTCCCGCCCGCGGAGGACACGGCCGGCCCCTGCCCACGCTCTCCCCTCC